TGTGCAAATTGCCTTCGGTAGTATTTTCATTATCACAATATTGAGTCTTCCTATCCATGAGCAACGGGTATTCTTCCACTTCTCCAGGTACTTCTTGTTTCTTGTAGCAATGCTTTGTAATTTTTTTTAATAAATCCTTTGTGCTTCTGGTTAGATTTACCCCCAAGTATTTAACCTTATGACTAGCGTGAAGGGTATTGTTTTTCTTAGCGCCAGCTCTGTAATTCTCTTTGTCACTGTAGAGAAATCCAACCAATTTTTGTATGTTGATCTTATATCCTGTCACTTTGCTGAATTGGTCAACTATGTCCAGTAGTTTTCTTGGTGAGTCTTTAGGGTTTTCTAAGTATACTATCATCTGCATAGAAAGATAATTTTACATCCTCTTTGCCAATTTGGAAACCTCTTATTTCCTTCTCTTGTCTTATTGCTCTCACTAAGACTTCCAATAAAATATTGAATAAGAGAGGTGATAGTGGGCATCTTTGCCTAGTTCCTGTTCTCAAAGGGAATGCCTTTAATCTCTCTCCATTGAGAACAAGGTTGACTCTCGGGTTTGCATATATACTTTTTACTATGTTGAAGAAATTCCCCTCTAATCGTATTTTGTTGAGTGTTTTAATCAGGAAAGGGTGTTGGATTTTGTCAAAGGCCTTTTCTGCATCAACTGATAGCATCATGTGGATCAAGGACCTAGGACTAAAACCAAGGACTATAAACTTCATTAGAGAAAAGCTTGGAAGAACCCTAGAAGTCCTAATCCACAACATAAACAGTCTTCCAAGCATCCTAAAAAACCTATAACAAATAAGGAGAAGATAAAATAGATGAATGGGACCTTCTAAGAATAAAATCCCTTTGCACATCAAAAATTTCTCCAACAGGGTAAAAAGAGAAGCCACAGACTGGGAAAAAATATTTGGTAATGGCATGTTTGACAAAGTACTTATATCTAGAATTTATAAAATTCTCTAGTGCCACAACAAGATAAAGGTAAACAACCCAATTGAAAAATGAGCACAGCCTATGAACAGAAACTTCACCAAAGAAGACATTCAGATGGCCAACAAACACATGAAGAAGTGCTCAAAATCCCTAGCTCTAAGAGAGATGCAAATCAAAACATCTATAAGATATCATCTTACTCCAGTAAGAATAGCAAAATTAAGAGCAGTAAACATCAAATGCTGGCAAGGTTGTGGAGAAACTGGAACCCTTAGTCACTGTTAGTGGCAGTGTAAAATGGTGCAGCCACTATGGAAGGCAGTATGGAGCTTTCTCAAAAAGTTGCAAATAGAAATACCATTTGACCCAGCAATTCTGGGAATATACCCTAAAGAAACCAGAATTGCTCCCCAAGCAGATATATGTACATGTTTATTGCAGCTTTGTTCACAATAGCAATGAGTTGGAAACAACCTAAGTGCCCATCAACAAACGAATGGATAGAGAAGCTGTGGTATATTCACACAATGGAATACTATGCTGCATTGAAAAACAAAGAACGCATGCAATATTATTCAAAATGGATGACCCTGGAGGACATTATGCTGAATGAAATATCTCAGATGCAAAAGGACAATTACTGCATAGTGCCACTGTTGTAAAATGGAACTGACATCGGTTTTGAGGGAAGACAGAGAAGGCGGGAATGAATGAGATATACTGCATTGAAACAGATGAGAGATAAAACTGTTTCAAAGGAAAATAGGATTAGATATTATTTTCATGCCAAGATTACAGAAAAAGAAATGCACAGTAAAGCTGACTGTGGACTGGGGGGATTCTATAACAATGAAAGATTTTTTTTTTCAAAAGAAAAACAAACTGAAGGGATGGGTGGGCAAGGAGGAAAATGTGCAACAATGAATGGGGGAAAGTTAAATAGAAAGAATATGCTGAAAAAAATAGTAAAATAATAAAAAAGAATAATCACAAAAGGCAACATAAATGAACTTGCTGTTAGCACAGTAAAGATGACTTGTCCCCCTCTCCCAAAAAAAAAGGAAGAAAATTGTAACCCAGTTGTCATTTAGTTGAATCCGACTTTCAACAACACTGGAGGCCAAATTGAACTGCTCATTGGCTTTCCAAGACTATGAAGTCTTTGCAGAAGCAGGCTAGCATATCTTTCTCCCATCGAATGGCTGGGGGCTCAAACCACTGATCTTTCAGTTAACAGTGAAGCTCTTAACCTCTGAGTCCCCTGGCCTTCTCCTCGGCTGTCCTGGTCTTATTGTTGTCGAGGTTGTTAGGTGCCATAGAATTGGTTCCTGCTCATAATGATTCCAAGCTCAGAGTTATTATGCCAGAACTGGGCCCTGCACCATCCTCTCAAGCTCTGCAGCCCAGAGGAAAGAATTTCTCACAACTTCCTTGTAAAAGCTTAGAAAGATCTCAACTTTCCTATAGAAGCCCAGGAAGAGATCTTTTTGACCAGCTCAAGGCCAATGCCGTCCTGAGCACCATGAATGTCCAGGCTTGGCTTCTGAATCTGCCAGTGGTCCAGCGTCGTTGTGCACCCTCCAGCCAGAACTGACTCATAGCTTGACCCGCCACTAGGTTTTCAGAGACAGTAAATCGCACGTGGAAGAGACTGTCCATCTTTCTGCCTGTCCATCTTTCTTCGGCAGAGCTGGAGAATGTTAACCACCTGCCTTTGGTTTGGCAGTATAGCTTTTTTTTTTTGTACTTATGCAAAATCTA